TATGGTATAAGCTTCAAATTCCTAGCCACTAACCATACTCTGAACTTTCCTAGCAACCGTAGCGTGGACTTATTAAAACAGATAAAAAACATAATTTACGACGCCGGACGTCGGACTGAAACATATAACAAGTTACTCTACAAAGGACTAATTTGATTTTAATCCTCATTTTTCCTGACATATAATGAAAGAGCGATCTTACTGCCCTCGGCGATATTAAAAAAACCGACCAATTGCAAGTCGGAGTGGCGCACGACGGGTTCCGTATAATTAAGTAGGTATACAAATTTCACAATGTAACTTTTTTATTTCAAGGGTCGACTTGAATCCATTTATTGATATCGAACAAACTCGTGTTGCGGAAAGTGAAATCCCGTTCCCCCACCGTGGGGCATGGGACGAGCACATGTCTGTGTCCGTTTCACTGATCAGTTGTTGATCAGATTTCTGTGCCCTTATTCAATCAAAACCATTGATTTTGTACTTTGACCACGTAATTGTAGAGAACACGTTTAACTATTTAGCTACAGAAGCGGGATGTCTTGTATGGGAGTCGCCGTTTAAGTATTTATTTTGATTTGTTGTTATAGAAGTAATAGAAATATACAATTTGTGAATACTTCAACTTTCTAGCTATCGCGGTTCTATAATACAGCCTAGTAGACATTTCAGCCTTTGGTTCTCTTTTGTACGGAACCCTAGAAACGTTTCTTTTGCACACGCCCCGGAGTAAATTACATATTCCAGACATCGCTCGCGTGAACATAGAAATATTTTTTTCTCATATAAATCTATTTTAAACCTTTAGGGTATTATTTGCAATATTTGAAGCGACTCTATGTGATTTATGGTATTACTCAGATAGCGACAAGTGTGTGGCGTTAACTCAATTCACTTCAAGTTAAGTATAGCCCGAATTCGGCTTCGAATAAAAAACCGAAGTCCGATAAACTGTTACTAAAGTTTTTTTTGACAGAAGACATACTACAAGCATAAGTTTCAATTTGTGGAAGGTAAAATGACCCAGCTATATAACATTGGAACAAGTTGGGCTGTCGACCTTTTTTGGATTTGGATATTTGGTAATCCACAAGCTGAAACCGGAGCCGATAAAACTGCACGGGTTTTCCGTGTGTGAACGGGGGTTCGTGACGCGAAAGGAATTTCGATATTACCAACCATACATCCAGACACATCCATATTGGACTTGGTACGAATCAAAGCTTCGACGCGTTGCTTATTAGTTATAGATTGTTAAATAGGAACATACATTTTAAGTTAAATATATAGATATCGTATATGATTTTGGTTCTTATTGTAAGTTGAGCGATATTCTTTAGCCAGATAGAAACAATTGTCGCCGTCAAGTCTATTTTAATTACGTTAGACGTTTCTAGCCAAAGTTGCTCAATGCGTCCCAGTTTTCCAACCCTCCGCCTTGGGCCAAAAATCGACCGTCGGTTGAACACTAAAAATAAGCACCTTCTCTAAAGCAATCTTTTGCTTCCATTGTGTAAAAATATATAATACCAATCGTATTACATAATTTTGGTTCGCCAAAACTGAAATTTACAAGTCTAAGGCTAGTCCAGACGAAATACGCAATTGAAAAGGAAATCGCTCACAATTTTTCAACTCGTAATTGAATATGCAGGTAAATATTTCATTGTTTAATCTTTAAGATTCCTTAAAGACGCAAAGCGTAAAAACAGTAGCTATTACTACGACTATTTGTCTGTCACTAGGCTCACAGACACTGTGGACCTCAAGAACCACGATACTAGCTAGATAGTTGCGTATTATTAAAATTGTGATTCTATGTATGATACAATAGTGTAGTAATAGTACTCTATTCACATTCGGCAGCATGGATATAGTATCCCATGCTGCCGAATGTGAAAACAATAGAAAATAAATATTTAAGAGTATATTTCAACTTACTATCAGTAATCACTAAATATTGTCAAAATATGTAATTTAAAACTTCCTTAAATAGAAAAATGTTACATTATACATTTGAGTAGCTACTACTTTTTATTTAATAATAGGTACTGAACCCTTAATACCCTACCCTTATACGCTTATTTTGTATCAATTTTTTTTTATCTCCAAATATTGCCTTAACTAAAGGCCCATATGCATCAATTGGGTAAGAGCTATATGGTGAGTCGTCCAGTTCGTCACAATCTATACTAACATATAAAGCTGAAGGGTTAGTTTGTTTGTTTGACTCGTCGCGCTAATGTCAGGAACTACCGATTCGAATTGAAAAATTCATTTTGTTTTGGTTAGAACATTTATCGAGAAAGGTAATCACTACTAATATTATAAATGCGAAAGTAACTCTGTCTGTCTGTCTGTCCGACTTTTACGCCGAAAGTACTAAACCGATTTAAATGAAATTTGGTACACAGATATTCTAGAGCCTGAAAAAGGACAGGCTAATTTTGAATGCCAAAAGAGGGATGTTAAGGGTTGAAAAGGGAGATGAAATTGTTGTATTTGTGTTTGTATGGAAATTCGAAATTTTTAAAGCTAGATCTACGAAACTTTCTTTAACTTTTTGAATGGAAGTGAGAGTGGAAGTGAGAATGGGATCGGGAGTGATGTGAGGTGGGAGTGGGAGTGTTGCAGCATAGTAGCCCTTACTACACATATTGGCTGCCTTGAATGCCGCTTTGCATTATAAAACCTTTTGCTGTACGAGAAAATGGGAGTAAGGGGTTGAATGAGGTATGAAAAGTTGTGTGGATGTATCGTTATTAATTTTTATAGAACTTACTAATATTATAAATGCGAAAGTTTCTATAAAATATTTATGAAATAAATAAAAAGCCTAAATAATTGAAAAAATATACGCAAAGTTACTATTCCACGTGGACGAAGTCGCGGGCACAGCTAGTAGCCTATAAAACATCGCACTACGACTAATAAGAGCGAAGAAACAGCGGGAAGTGTGGAAAAAGACGGGGAAAATTATTCATCTTTGTGGGTTTCCGATGCGTACGTTGCGAAAACAGTTTAATATACCCAAAAAATATGTATTAAGGAATAAATTAAGTATGTAAAAAAATGACCGCGATTTGAAATCGTGGACGATAGGCGACACGACCGTCGTGGATTACAGCTTAAATTTATAAAGATGAAGAGGTTTGCAAAAACAAATTTGGATGTCGAAAACAACTATTCTACCCGGACGATACGCCTACTGCACAAGCGTTGCTGACGATAAAACGCTAGATTGGAACGACCCTAATCCATGCTTATACAATATCACTCTTATACAGGAAAGGTGAACGGCGTATCGGAGATTCTTAGGCGTTCTTATCTGAAGACGTTTCTTTACACAAATATACACTTTGAAGGCGCGTGTTCTCTCACGATCTGCATTCTGCATCAACAAAAGATTACGGAGACGAGACGCTTCAACATCTTAAACGTGTTATTGTATAAGTTCTACAGAATAGAAAGTGCTTTTGAATGCTTAATACGGAGAAATACTTTGAATCCAGTCCATGGAATTCACGGACTTCGTTTCAAAGAGGTACGTATCCTCTTTGAAACGGTAGTCAAATATAGATCTGAGTCTCCAAGAACGAGCTAAGTAATATTTATAAATTCTATATAGCCCATTTATATTAGCTGCTATTTTGTTATGCTTAGTTGTAAGTGAGTAAGTAAAGAAATAAGTGAGTAAGTAAAGACCGTCAAAATTCAAAACATGTTTTTCGCGTTAAACACTAGGGATCGTCGATTTAAATTTTGGCGGACATTCAATGGGCGGTAGGAACAGAACTTATTAGTTATCGCGTTTCGGTTTTTATCTGTGCAATTCTTTCTTTCTTTCACAAAAAAGTAGCTATATATATAAAAGCGGACATCCCGTGATATAAGCTTATTATTTCCTGGTTAAACCTTAACTAAATACAGCGCTAAAAAAAATCAATGCTAAAATTCATCTAGCTTAGGAAAGGTGATTTCACGTGTAACCTCCCTGTCTTCACCAGACGGGGGTCACGGAATGAAGTTATCGGAAACGCAGGATTAACCCCGGATTTTTAACCTCCGGGCTGTTAATGCCTCATAATAACATCAATTCTTTTAATAAGCTATATCGAATTAGTGTTTGTACTGTTATGGTGCGCGTTGAAACTCAAACTTTTACATGCTCCATATTGGATGTAACGTGAAAATACATCACACGTTAATTCAATAGCGTAAAACAGACAGATTTTGAATTGTAAATTTGATTAAAAATTTTATGCGCTAGTTGTTGAAAACATATTTATTACCTGTGGCGTGCCAATCTGTGTAATAAAATATTTTTTGGATAATACAATTAATTGCGTGATAACGAAAATCGCCCCCAGGCCCTTTATATTGATTTTTCATATATTATAAACATTGTGTTTTAGATTGTGTTTCAACCATAACTTGGTTGCTGAACGCATTTTTACACCACGGTGAAACGGAAAATTGTTTCGGTCAAGTACGGCACAGCTCAACTAATTCCATGCAAAATCGATTAGATAAAGATGTAAAGGTAACTAACTTGTCAGAGATGTATAGTAATATTTAAATACTGTCTATAGTTTACGCGAGTAGTACACATTTAAATAAAACACTTTAACGGTTTAAAACGCGATATAATAGTTAAACTTAGTAATATTATTTTTTTAATTAAATTTAAAAATTTTTTATATATTAATATTTTCTCGTTATTATATAAAGTTGACGAGAACCGAGAGAGAGGCGAATTTTAAAAATAACTACGTGTTATTTAAACCGGCGACAGAGAGTGCTCAAGTCGTCTGTAGTAAGGACAGACTGGCGTTCTATTTGCAGACAATTTGAACTGAAAATACTTCACAGAAGTTAGCCTGTCCCAGACAAGTTAGCTACTGGCTGGCTAGATTAGTTTATTTTCGTGTGAGAATCCCTTTTGTTTCAAACGATTTATTCGAATAATTAAGGATTCACCTATTTAAATTTAAATAACATTATCCGTAATTTCCGTTTGAAATAGACGAAGACTCTTCTCCTACTGCCACAATAGAAACCTTATTTAATGCAATTTCTACAGTGTAAAAGGGGTTCCGTATTCCCTCTGGGTATGGGCCAAGATCGCTGCGCCTGTTAATCTGTTTTATTTGATGTTAACATAATATTTAACCAAAACGTTACAATTTTTTTTCAACACTTCATCAACTTTACTACTACTAACAAATTATATTTTTTTTATTAAAAAACAAACTTCACTAACTAATTTGTAAAGAAAAAGGCAATATTTATTTAGTAGTTTTAGTATTTAAACCATGTTAAGACCCTTCGTTTCTTCTTTAACTACTTGAAAAAACTAGAATTATACAAGGAAAATTTTCATATTTCATCTTCACATTTTGTCGCAATATACAGTGAAAAATCATACCCTATATCATAAATAATCGAAGAAATAAAATGCCACTCACATAGAACAGATAAAAGTTATATTGATTTACCTCAGAGATCACTTATTGATACACTCTCTATAGCACAGTTCTCATTCACAGTTAATAATAAGTTCAAAGACATGGGTAACAAGTTTTGATACTGCGGCTGAGTTAAGTAAATATTTTTATCCAAAGGATGGATTCTTATATATATATATGAAAAAGCAACATTAATACTAACCAAGCAACAAAAGTGTATAGGTTTTCTCATTTGTAATTATAATATTGTCCAATAATGGTAACTCTCTTTAATGATAAAAGTTCTCAGGCTTTGGAGTTTTAATAAAAAGAGCTAAAATTATACACATGTGTCTATACTATGTATAGTATAGACACATGTGTACGTACACAATGTATATGTTAAATAATTGTAGCATATAGGTTGATAGTAGTTAAATGGATATTTTAGAATTTAAGATATGTTTATGCAATGGTTTCTTATGCTCTATTACTCTATTAACAGAACCGTGGTACCGTTTTTTATAGGTTTTATATACCTTTGTACACTTTGAAGGAAACAGCATATTAATACTTGTCTTTTTGGCAAAATTTGTAGTCAGTCAGCTAACAGTACAGTAAGACAATAAAAGTATTAAAGAAAATATACTACCGAGTCAACCTCTACTAAGAAAAGTACAACTAACTCTCTTTAGGTTTCTTAATAAGGTCAACTCATACCTATTGATATTAACTATTTAATAACAATTTGGTACAAGTCACGTGGTTGTGTAAAGGTTTGAAAAAAATAGGGCACTATATTACACATTAAAACCTATTATTACAAAAAATATACATATAGTTTCAATTATTTCTATGCAATAGTATAACATAAAAACAACATGTTGATGTTAAGGGTATAATATTTATAAGATTATAGAGAGGACTGAAATATATATATATATATAGACCATTTTTTACCTTACAGAATATATTTATTTGTCATATAGATAAATGCATACATATTTTAGTTGTATATTTTGTTAAGACATATTTATTGTTTTCTCATAATTGCCATATTTTTTTATTTTTTAAAAGAACAGGAAATAAAAACAGGGATAAAAATATGGCATATGTACATTTTTTTACATAAATATTATAGAGGACAATGGTAAATAGAAGAAATATTTCAGTGATTAGTTGTAAAATATTAAAAAGTCTATCGCTATGCAACTCAGCTTAAGTTCAAAAGCATAAATTAAAAGTAGGATGTGGAAAATCACAGAAAAATATTCAGATAAATTAACTTAAATATTATTTTCTTAGTATGCATATAATTGTTAAACAAAGCCAATCCAGGACAACAAAAGAATTATAAAAGAATCAAAACATTCTTATATAACAGAATCTAGTCATTTTTGGCCTTGACTTAGTCATCCAATAATAGAGAATCTTAAAACGCTTTGTAAAAATTAATGCACATGAATTCACTACGTAAAAGTTACGTAGTGATTTCATGTGCGTACGTATATTTACATAATAATAGGCTGCGGACTTTCGCAATGCGAAAAATATAGTAAATAACATACATAACAATAGAACTTGTATTTATTAGTATAGAGGCTTACTTTACGAGTGAACGTCTAATACTATACGTCTAGCGTAACGTATAAATGTAAACAGAATAATAACCTTCACTCTACGGATGTGTACGATGGCTTGTAATGAATGAATTAACGCAATTCTCTATAATAAAGCATTTATATATACAAAGTACTAACCTCCGACGCGATGTGGTGCCATCCACTCGCAGAATCACTGGAAAACGAGCCACTTGTAATGAGTAAGCCACTGTCTTCGCTTAACGGGGGCGCTTCGGAGTGTGTAGAAAACGAAGGCGGCGACTCCATCGCTATATACCGTAACGCTTCGACGAATACATATATCTAGCGTAAACTACAACACTTTTCATATATACAAAGAACAATTATTACAAACGTCTCTGATAACAATATCGAACTGAAAACGTACGATTAATAAAATATGACTGATCACCAATCAGTGGGTACGATTTTTTTTTTGTTTCGCCCACGTTTCCCCTCATCGCTATAGTCTGTTGAACGCACAGTTAATAATACTAGTCGAGTTATAGATTAAAATATGATAGTGGACATACCTGTCCGCGCCATAGACTTCAATTGAAGTATGAATTAAAAAACTTATAATTTATAATTCTAGCTATATTAATCTTAGGCCGGTAGATATAAGAAATATCAGTCGACCTTGGAGCCCGTTTGTATAAAATATTTCATGTTTCTATTTGTTTATTAAATATCAACTATTAAACTGGCAAAAAAAATTTTAGGTGGCAGTATCGATTTATCATCTTTGTCAAATTTAAAATAAAAAAAGCCGTGAAATAGATACATAGCTAAATCAACACTAACATAGCACACACTACTTATCTGTACAATGTTTCCATTGATCTATTGATATAGCCTGTGAGTTTTGTGTCAGATGCCAGTTATAAAATGCCAAACGAGTCTCGGCCCATGATTAGTGATTACTATTCACAGGTACTATTGTTTACAAGCGATTCTTCGGCTAATCCTTCCTTCTTTATAATTTGTAAAATAAAATAAAAAATACTTCTTGTTTCATAATGGCGAAAGTACAGTTGTGTATGTTACTAGAATGTATAGCACCGTCGCCATTAAAGCTCCGTGGCTACGTATCCTACACAAAAATGACATTTAATGTATAACAAACATTATAAACTTGGAAAATATATAGCTTTGAAGACTTTAATTATAGTAGAACATTCACATGGGAAACCGAATTAAGTATAAGTGTATACTGAACATGATTTAAAGAATACAAATTATACAAGTACTATCAAATTAACTTTCACAATCAGTTAATATTTCATTTAAAAAAGAGAATATTGTGTAGATGAAGAATTAAGATGTATAAGAATTTTTCTTAAGATTCGATAGTAAAAAACGTAAAGGATGAATTCTGTATAATATTTATATATTCCTAAATCTTTATTGATGCCTATAGTTTTCATACACTTGTTATACATGTTCACTTGTCATAATGGAGATTTAAACAGTAGAGTGAACTTAGAGTCTACAAAGCAGAATCCAGAAGCACTAGTACTATTAATGATATACAATCTTTAACATCAATACGTAATATTTATATACTTATTTTCTTAACTAGTAAACAAACCTATCCAATGAAGAAGTAATAAATAGATAATACCTATTCATACTTACTATGTACATATTAAGCCATAAACAAGTTAATCTAGACACAATTACAACGATGAATGACTTTGAATGTTTAATAGGAATCTATTATAATTAAGAAATAATATTAAAAATTATAGAAGACGACAATGCCAGCCAAATTATACACGGTTTCTAAATTAAATTAATATTTACGTTATTTAGAGCAGTAATTTGTTATCTTTACATAATTTAAAAACCTTTCAATCTTGCCAATGCCAATACATTAGTATGATGAAGTACTTTTTCAAAAGAAAATTCTTTTCTCAATGACTAAATAATTACAATTTGTAATTTCTATAAGTGATACCTTTGCCTTTTCAAACTGAGGTTTATTATCTACATACACATAATATATCAAATGACTGTACAACATCTAACTTCTATTTTTATGTAATGGCCGACTTAAAAAAATATGGATTTTTTACAGAAAAGTATGAAATATTTGTTTTGTGTTACAATTTTATATTGGGGACACTGATAGAAGGCCAGGTGACTAGTTCAATTGCTTCGGCCATGCACCACATTTGATAAACACTGTATTTCCCCATTGCTACTTTGCGGAGGTTATCAACATCTATATCACACTAATACTCTTAATTAGAAGAGTGTGTGGCTGCTCTTTGTGTGGTCTTATATACAGTGACGGGTCCCAGATGGAAAACACTTTGTCATAACTATTACCTTATTAAACCAAACACAGCCTTAATGTGCAACATAGCCCAAACACGTACAGTTAAATAACATGAAGAATTTATTACAAGAGATGGTGGAAATGTTGTGTTGGGTGATATATAATTTTAATGAACTATTGCCTACCCACAAATTCGATAACATGGCAAATTGAAAAAATTTCTAGTTGTTCTTCTATGGTATATACTATTATTCTTATGGAATATACTATGTTCTGAATTCCTTCTTGTGAACTTCAGCTTTCTGTGTCAGTCTTGCCCCAATAGTCTTATTGAATTTTAATATTGAGGGGGGGGGGGGGGGCCTCCCCAAAACCCCCCCAACCCAATGCCCCACTGGCACAACAATGCAAACTGCAATGTTTCATTTGGCAAAATTATTACGCTGATTATTGTAAAAACAAAAAAGTTAAGGGTATGGAACGAGAACAACTGGCAAGAAACTCGCGCCAACTGCTTATAATTGCCAAGTTTTTGTTACAATCCTTACGCACTAAGGGTGTCCATCTTCTTCCTTGTTAGAGAGGGTTCCTCAAGCATTTTTATCATTAAATATTCATTTATATTTCAATAACCTTCTCCAAGCAGTTTTTGCGTAACATAAGATTTAAACTTATTTATTGACAGTATTTGTACTTCACTAGAGATTTTTTTTAAATACCTTATGCTACTAATCTTGAAAATAGTTATTTAAAACAAAACCCTTAGAAGTTTAAAGTCGCAGCAATGCACATTAATAATTTTTCCTCTGCATATGGAGATTTGTGTTCAAGAATACAGTTGATTCTTTCCTCTGTCCAAGTACTTCTTTTTCTTTGGTACTGGGGGAAACAAGGCAGAGAACCATTTAATATATGTATCTTTGGTATCTTTGGAGGCAGCTGACTTTTGATACCCCACCTGAAATTAAGACATTTGTTCTGTACTTAATTGAATATGATCAGCATTGCAGGTCTTCATAAAATTATATAGATAGAAAGGTAATGTCAACCATTTCAAATCAAAGAAAAAAAAAATTATTATATTTAAAAATCATTATATTCAATTCAAATGTTTGAATTTCTATTAGCGTAATATAAATTCGAACACTTGCAAAAAGGTTAAGTGGTTGATAAAACTATATACACTATAGATAACTATAATAACCTTCATTATCATTGAACAAAATTTTGTTTGTACCTTTTAAAGTATGTATGTCTTTCTATGTGCTAGACAGGTATTAGTTGTCGCAGCTCCTGGAAAAAATATTAATTGGTTAGGTAAAAGTTAAATATCCTATGCAGAGTAGAAATTGACAAAATTATCAGATATTAAATTATTTTATTAATTTAACACTGAACCAAATTATCATTTTAAACACAATTGTTGTAAAGTATGTACAAGTTATACATATCTGTACAATTTTATTAAAAGTGTAAAACAGACTAAAATATCACATCACACTTACCTAAAACTTTTATAATATTTTATTTTAATGTCTAAAATTGTAGGTCAACTGGTATATAAAAGTTGAATCCTATGCCTTGTTATAACCAAGCCTTAGGGATTGATTCCATCTAGTGACTGATGTGGCATTCAGATTTTTCTGAAAGGATATTAACCTGCCATGCATCTAGGACATCTGGAAGTCCTGAAAATAGAAAAGCTGACTGGAGTATTACATTCATAAAATATACATTCACATAGTTTATTTACTAGACAAATAATATTTTCTACAATCAGAATATCTTTTAACATAATTAGTCAGAGACAAAATAGTAGGATAAATATAAGGATAATTAAAGCTCACCTTTTATATTTTATACGTTTATCTGGTAAATAAATACTTTATGCCACATTTCAAAGAATTAAACATACAACATATTTTTTCACAATATAACAATTTGGTCAAATGTCAAAATACGGAATTATTTATCCACCACAGATATAGCTATTCAGTTTGTATGCTGCGATCATAGTAACAATTTTGAGCACAGATGGAGTTAGCAAGGTTTCCATACCATAGACGATAAGTTACGATATTTACTGTTTTACCGTTTATTTTGATATGTGAGGAATAGATATAAGCTTTACAATCCATGATATAAATATACTTAATAGTCTTATTTCTATTTCTCAGTCTGAGATACTTTTTTCTGAACACGACCTGAAATTTTATCAAATATTCGATCACCTACTGCTTTACAGGTCCAGCCACTGAAGCAAAGGTTCCCGCTTATACATTTCACAGTACGTTTAATCATTATTAACACGATACAATTTATTCATAGCTTCTTGCAATATTAAATAAACTCCTGATTCTATTATGTCCGGACCGGGACCGGACGGTCATTAGTACGGGATGCCAGCTAAAAGGGCAGTGTGAAGTCGAACTCTGGCCGCGTCAGTGCGGTAGTAGTAGTGTAAGTAGTGGCGCCAAACGTGGCAAAAGTGAACCATCGAGCCGATAACAAGTCTCTAGAAAATGTTCTACGTTTAATTGTCGAGATTTTGCTATGAAATATAACTATAATTATGAAAAGAACTTTCTATAGAGTAAACCTGTATGTATATCAATTAAAAATGGATTATGAATTGAAAAAAAATAGGACACGGACAGGATTTCAACCGGCATTCACAGCGTTCCGCGCTGTTGCTCTAACTATTTGATCTACTGTGTCCAATACGTCACCGTCGATATTTCAAAATGCACCCATGCATAAAAATGCACATATGAAACCTTATAATATTTTCATGATGGCGCCATATAAATTAAAACTCATTTTTAAATAAATATTCGTTGAAAACTGTGCAGTTACATAACTTAAAATTCTACGGGTTAACACGAAAAATTGAATGCAGGCCGGATTGAAAAAGAGAGAGAATAACTTATTGCAATTATGACATATTAGAGGGCTCAATCGAAATATTATTTTTAATAATATTTAAACAAGATCTTGTGTTAAAAAAACTGTAACGCTGATATAGAAACGGTAGTGCCGTTTCATGTAAGATAATGGTATATTAAGCTGCGGACGAAGAGAGGAATAGAACTTGGTGTAGCGATAGATATTTTTACATAATCCCGAGAGAAGTTTTCATTTTGTTTTCGTCTCGGTGGCGTTGAATTATGATCGAAGTCTATGTTGTATGCTGAGTAGAATATAAATGATAATAATAATTCTTGCACTGACTTATGCAGGAAAATTGAGAATGCTTTTCATGTAATGGTCGTATAGTTAAAATGAAGTCTGGAGTAGCTTTTTGGCAAGCATAGTCCGCAATGTATGTCGGAATATATTAAGAGTAATAGTGTTATTAGTACTCATGTCGAGCAATTAGGCTGCTTGGTTTTTTATTGCTAATTTATATTCCTTGCATTTTTTATTTGAAAGTAACGATAATTTATGTATGTGTGTAGCGTTAGTTGGGGAGTCTAAAACTAAGATTTAACTAGATTAAAGTATTGTCAAAGATAATTTTGTGGGACAGGATGAGTAACTAGTGAAAATACGCAATGGTGTGCTGTTTTATTTCAATTATGCGTATGCGCAAGTCTCCATCCTTACTAGGCCTCCTGCTACGATATGTTTATTATTTCTCGGTATTCAATACTTTAATTCTACTTTTACGTAATTAATGCAATAATTATTTTTTCTAGCCCATTAAGACTATTTTAACAAACAACACCCACCATAATAATCATTTGTAGTATAATATTACAATCCTCACTGCGGGGCATGGGGCGAACACGTTTCTATATCAGTTTCACAATTTTAGGGATTGCATTATTTATTTATCAGGCTCTGCTTAAGCAAAACAAATTTACGTAGCCCTAGTATTCGAACCAATAAATTCTCGTCTTCAACACAACACTAGAAAACCATTTAACCATTCAACTATGGAGGCGGAATTATTGCAATATTATTCTCGTCACTATTGTGTAGATTACAATAGGTAAGTGACAGAGACGAGAAGCCAACGAGATAGCTCAAAAAGTTTACAAATTGTTTCCGCCTCTTAACAGAAAATAGTAAGCAAGTTGGAAAGCCATTAATGGAGTAATCAAAATTCAAGAACAGTGTAACAAAGCTAAAACCAGCGCACAAAGCTTGTCAAAAACATAATAACATCGGTACATTTATGTTATTGTAACTTCGGATGTAGCTTTACAGAACAAATTAGTTTGTTCTGTAAAGCTACATCCGACACTAATTATAATAAACATAACGGTAGTAAAAGTAGGTATTAGAAGATAGAAGAAATATACGTCGTTCTTCTATAATATAGATATAAAATCGATTACATATAAAATTTGTCACTTAGTAAAACCAAAGCGCTTGTGATCGCAACCATTTTTAAAACTTATTTATTTCAATGTCAGAAAGCCGAAAGAAAGAGTTCAGAAAAACCCAGTTTCCCCTTGTGGGGCATAGGGCGAACACGTATCTGTATCCGTTTAAATTTTTTTTTCCTTCTGACTACTGTACCCTATCCGACTAAAACAACTTATTGTTTCCCTCGGGTTCGGGAGGCGGCCTATCGAAGTTCCAAGCTATATTTCTGGTTTGATTTCAAATGTAAGTTTTAAATATTATCTGAATCTCGATAGAATAGCAAGCATATATTTAGGAGAGACTCTTGATGTTGTACATATATGTGAAAGGATTTTGAATTTTATTTAAAGTTACATAAATCTTAATGATTTTTAGATGGGATGATATCGTACTCGGCCCTTCGATATCTTGAATTCACGTGAAGAGCAAATTTGGCTAACGTTGCGCTGCATTATGTAGGTAGATTTAAAATCTGGTAAAAGTTATTTGGGATTATCTTGATTTTATCATAATATAGGTTTCAAAATTGAATTTTTGCTTTCAATGCATATTTAACTAGCTGATCCGGCAAACATGGTTTTGTTGTTAGGAAAATTAATATTATTATATTGATACAACGCCAACGATATTAATTCATTTTGACGTGTTTTATATCGTTTAAAGAGGAATTATTCTGTCATACATAAAATATACTTTTCTATCTTTAAAATTTTAAAAATTATTTAGATTCGTCAAAATTTTTTTGTTTGTCTGTCTGGTTGTCGTGAATCTTAACACCCAAGAAACTCAGTCCGGCTTTTGTTAACATGTCTTATAAACTAATTCATTGTGAAATTAACCTTGGGAGCAATCCATATTACTGCCAGGCGGTCTTGTCAATAAAGAAATCGTTCAGACAATAATACGCCTTTTGAGACAATCTAAATTTTATAACTTTCTTAAATTTATTTATCGATAAATTTGACACCTCAACTGGCAATGTACATACCAATACAATTCCCCGCAAATGAATTAGATATTTTATAGAACCTATATTTGGAGATAGCTAGGTTATCCTTATTTCGTAACTTCAAATTATGCCTATTCTTGCTTAAACTTGTTTTTGTTCATATGGGCATATATATAATACATTTTCATAAATATACTGCGAGTACACAGTAAGTATGCCGATATTTTAAAGGTATCGAGATCCCATACCATAGATAGCCCGGACCGCCCCTTTTTTGCAACACAAAGATATATTCAATGTCGGCAGCGTTACCCCACAGTAGTATGCCATATGTCATTACACTGTTTTAATGTCTGTTAATTGTTTGAATCTTTTTTACGGCACAAGGTTGTAGAACTGAGTTTGCTCGAGGCTTTCCTGATATGAGAACCCCATTGTATACTGTCTATAGTTTACGGAGTAGTACACATATAAATAAAACACTTTAACGGTTTAAAACGCGATAATTAGTTAAACTTATTTGAAAATGATTTTTAACTTCGGCCCGACGTTTCGGTTGCTTTGCAGAGCCGTGCACGGGGAGACCGAAAGTAGGGCCGAAGTTAAAAATCATTTTCAAATAAGTTTAACTAATATATCGCGTTTTAAACCGTTAAAGTGTTTTATTTAAATCCCCATTGTAGTTTGGAGTCTAACGTTAAACCCAGAAAGACAGTTTCATTGCCCAATTTTATCTCGTCGTCACTCACCTTAACACTGGCTTTAGCTAACCTAACATTTGGTAAAGTGAATCTGTAGTCCTTAAGGGACCGTTCATATTTTTTTGTTTCATATTGTAGTTCAAATTGCAAACTTTGGATTTTTGACTCTAAATGTTGTGTGTCGATGTAGTATTTTAAATGACTTTGTTTAAGGTCTAACATGGTCGATCTAGCTTGTTCTCTTAATTTTAAAATAAATTTAACACTTCCTGATTATGATTGTGTGATATTTTAATTGTTTTTTGACCGTTTGATGAATGTATTAATTTTGAGGCATTTTTTTAGTTTCTTCTTACTACAAAATAAAACTGACTTGTCTGGTTGGTATGAACTATTACTTGTAAGGTCTGTAGTGGACAAGTCTAGGTTTGGGACATCAGCAGAAGGAATTAACTGGGGGGCACTACTCATTAGCTCGTTATACAAAGTCTCGGTTTCACAGACAGATACGCGTTGGGCACTTTCTTCCAAGTCTAAGATCGATAAGACATCAAGATCGTAGAAGTTTTAAATGAAGTTTCGTTAAGTTTTTTCGTTTGTTTTGCGCATGAGTATTTTAATTCAAAAAATCGAGGCCGCAGCTAAACTGGATTATAGCTAAAAACCTCCTTGTACGCCTGTTTGTTCTTAGTTGTATCTGTGTATTGTCTATTCTTCAGCAGTTTAAGGATAAAGGTCCAAAATCGTTTGGATTTCTTCGTGGAGTCCTGGCTGGTGTTACTAAGAGTTTGTATAGTAGCGTGCGCGTCGGTCTACTTGAAAAAGTTACTCAGCGACTTCTTAGAAGTCCAAGAAGATACCCATGTGTGGGAGATCCTATATTCCAAACTAACAGACTATAAAACCTTTCACACCCTAATGTATACTTGTTCTGATGTTTTTGACTTCTTACCTCTCACCTCTTTAGGGAATATGATTAAAACCTTCTTGATACCGTATGTGCTCTTCGGCGTCGTAAATTCTGTATATTACTGGCTGAGTGTGAAAGAGAGAGACGATGCAGACAGTAAGGAGTCAGACAAGGAGAGACTGATCGACGACGAGGATAGTGGCATAGACAATAGTTCGGATTTGAAAATTAAAAAGAACACAAATTTGGATGTTTTGGTTCAAGATGTAAGGGATAAGGAAGTGGACGGTTTGGTTCTATTCATGAGTCGGTTGTCTGTGGACCCGGCGATATTCTATAATGTCTCGCAGATGGTTGTCTATGGTGTGATGGCGGCGCTAGTGATGCGACTTAAACTATTGTTTACGACGCAATTGTGCCTGCTGTCATCTTTAGTATTCAAGAATAAATATTATAATATGTGAGTATGTAATGTTTTAAAATAATTATTTTATTAAGGTAGAATGATTAGTACATATAAACAACTAGCTGTGCCCGCGACTTCATCCGCTTAGAATAGTGACTTGGGGTAGAATTTTTAATTATTTAGGCTGTTTATTAATTTATGTAAGGGCGCATTTGAGGCAGCCGATCTGTGTTGTAACCCCACTCGTATTCCCAAAAAGCCAAAGAAGAAAGTTTCATTATTCTAGCTTAAAGAACCACGAATTTGTAAAACAAACTTTCATCCCCTATTTCAACCCTTTTTGGCATTAAAAAGTAGCCTATGTCCTTTCTCAAGCTCAAAAATTTCTGTGTACCAAATTTCATTTAAATCAGTTCAGTAGTTTTGGAATTAAAGGACAGACAGACAGACGGAATTATGAAGCAGATATGTTTGCATATCACATCTATCACCCTATGATGTCGCTTGTTTATATATTATTAGCAGCAGAATACACTTCTCAGTATAATTTCGAGCCGTCCTAACTATTTCAGTTACCCAAAGCCAGTGTCAAAGTGCATGAAGGTGATATTGGTGTTGGGTCCGGTTCCCATGCTGTGGAGTCTAGTCAATAACACGTCCAAAGAGATGTCACACATCGGTGAGTGTGTTCGCCCTATAGCCCACTGGGGAAACGGGATGTTACATCATATTATATATAATGTTTGATACACGACATCTATATGTCTATATTTGTTTGTTGTGCGAATTAAAAAACAGGGGTTTAAAATATACATATATATGTATTATTAAATGATGTCTGTAGTTTACGCGAGTAGTACACATTTAAATAAAACACTCACTATTTAAATATATCAGCTGTTAAACTTGTTCACAAATTATTTTTAACTTCACAAATTGCCAAGCGAAACCTCGGGCCGCAGTTAAAAATAATTTATGAGCAAGTTTAATAAATTGTGTAAGGCTTTCGGGCTGTTCGGCCGATGTGAGCGGGAAGAGGTTCTCGACGTTTCACCATCACGTGTGGACGGCATCATCAGAAGATGTTGGACTCGATTGCTCTTATTCTTCGAGCCCGAACGACAATGATATGCTGAACAAGTTTAACAAATATATTTCGCGTTTTAAACCGTTAGAGTGTTTAAAACGCAAAATATATCAGTTTAACGAAATTATTCAAAAAATTTTCAACTCGGGCAGGACTTCCGTTCCGTGCTGTTGCTCTACCAATTGAGCTACCGAGTCGGCTCGGTCGAAAGTGCTGCCCGAGTCGAAAAGTTTTTCAATTCGTTTTCGATTTTTAAATTAATGGTTTTAACTTAGGCCCGACGTTTTTCAAATCATAAATTGATTAGAAAAACGTTGGACCCGGTAAGGATCGACACCAAGAGCAGTAAATAAATGATTTTTTACTTTTGTTCGCAGAGAGCGCGCATACGCAGTGTACAAAATGTACGGGCGCTTCTCGCCGCACGAACTGTACCAAAAACTTAGTAAACTCCGCGCGACTTATCTTATCGTCGAGAACAAGTACTGCTACGGACGCAGCAGGTGAGTTTTCCACTATTTCAGTAGTACCAAGGGACGGGTCGTAGATTCGATTCCCATAAGGTGAGTAAAATTTTGAATTTGTACGGGCATGAACGACCCTCTAACGTGCCCCAAAACTCATAAGGATGTTAGAACTGAGAACGCCCACTTGTCATAATGCCGCAGGCCAAAAATGAACCCTAAAACGTCGGGTCGTAATTAAAATATATTTAAAATAATGTCTGTAGTTTAGTGTGAGTAGTACACCTTTAAGTCTATAACCGTTTAAGAAGTCGGGCGTAGTTATAATAATTTTCCAATAACTTTACTTAATATATATCGTGGTTTAAACCGTTAAAATGTTTTATTTAAATAGATTTAAAATAAGTTAATTAATAAATTTCGCGTATTAAACCGCTGAAAGTGTTATTATACTCTCGTAAGATAGTTAAATATAGACAACTCAAATATTCACTAAATTCTCGTAAATCTCACCTCTGTGTGGCCCTAAATGGCGAGACTATTCTACCAGTTCTCTGAATCTATTAACTTCTCAATTAAGGCCGCTAGAGGCAGAGTGGCCTAACTACAATTTTTTGACTTGACTTATTTTTTAATAAAAATGTTAATTCACAAGAGCAGAGGGACCTAAAAATGTCAACCCAAGTAATAGTACAAACTGAATTTCGCCTAAGTTAATTGCGCATTTTTATTGCTCTCCTAATTGAAAATCACGATTTTTGTTATTAGGCCACTCTGCCTCTACCGGCCTTAATTTAAAAGCAAAACTCGTAATCGTTCTTATACCTGTTTAATACTCTAGAGCAAGTTGTGACGTCATTACTAAACCTGATGGCATGGATTTCAGTAAGGGGTGCTCCTTCGCAGACATTTGGGACGTGGAAGCCCCGTCCCTCCGAAAGGAGCCTCGCCTCTGCGACACGCTCCTAACCACCCCGGTGGAGCATTTCTATCCCCTCTTCAAGAATGGCCATTACTCCGTCTTCCGGATTCACGATGTTAGCGTGCGGTGAGTTTTGTTATGTTTCAATAGAACTAAGGTCAAAAATAATATTATGGTGGCAGGACTCGAACCCACTGTGTGTGTCAGTGAAAACAAAGAAACAATAAACTGTAGTTTACGTGACTAGTAAACTAGTAATAAAACACTTTAACGGTTTAAAACGCGAAATCTACTAGTTATTAAAATGTTTCACACTACAGCCGTAACGGCAATGATTTAATATGGTTAACGTTTTTGTATGAACTAATATATTTCACGTTTTAAACCGTTGAAGTGTTTTATTTAAATCGGGCATATTTGTCGTGGTTTTTGCCAAGTTAGAAAAAATACAGTGTAGTTTACCTTTTCCGGAATGTTGCGTGAGCCCGACTCACACTTAGCCGCTTATTGTCAACTATTTTCTGTTCCAGGTATATGCCCAGGAGTTTCGATACCTGACAGTAGTTTTAATTTTAAACATTACAAAGTTAAGACTGAATTGATTTACGCAATATCGAATATGTTGAAATAGAACACTTTAACGGTTTAAAACGCGACATATTATTTAAACTTATTTGAAAATGACCCCATCTTCTCGTGACCACGGCTGCTGCAAAGCATCCGAACCGTCCGGCCGAAGAAAAAATCATTTTCAAATAAGTTTAAATAATATATATCGCGTTTTAAACCGTTAAAGTGTTTTATTCGAATATGTTACTTAAGGCACTTGTTGTGAGTTAGCTATACAAGATACAAGACTCCGATCTTGGAATATTTTTTTAACAAGAAATGAGCGAAAACATAGTTTTAAAGGAAAGAAAGACTATTTAGGTCGGGCAGAGTCATCCCAAAGTTGTCGGACAACCAAACTCCGCAGTAGCCTATAAAGGTGGATAAGGGCCCCAGTCTACCTAAACCCAGGGCTCAAGAAACATTAGGGTCCTCGTCCCCTCTTTTAGCATAGCTTCCATTAAATCACCCTCCAAAATGATAAATAGCAACAAGAACGTTAAACATTTCTTTTCTTCTACGCTTATATTAACTCAAAGATAAGTTTAGAGGGCCCCTAAGTTCGGGGGCCCTGGTGCACTGCACCACCTGGCCCTACGATAGATACGCCACTGAAACTCCGTCGAAACGAGGCGCGCACGCGCATATAGACTTGTCCCTATTACTTATCCCCTCCCTTCCCCCGCCTCTCAGTATTGCTCTAACGATAGTTTATAATCTGACGAATCGAATTATTAATGGCTAATAAGAGATCTAGAACTAAAAATCGGTTTCTTATTAATAATGTAACACTAGTACCGATTGTGTATCATAGAACTTTCACATGCGCATGCGGCGCTAAGAGTACCAAACGCTGTATGATGTAAATAAAACACTTTTAACGGTTTTAAACGCGAAATCTATAAGGTTATTTACAATTTTAACGGCGGATGTTAGTGTTTTATTTATAGTTAACTACAGACAAGTTTCAGTCTATATGTCATGTTCAGATGTTATATGACATTTCACCTTCCATCAAATAAGTTTACGATTCTAACTGTTCTTATTTGTACTTGAACTAAGTTCAAAACTAACTAAGAACTAAATAATATAAGAGTTTAAGTTTAGTTAAGTACTTGTATAGTGCCAAATATTAAATATACATATGGCGTATAGTTATATTACTTAAGTCAAACAAAACACTTTAACGGTTTCAAACGCGATATATACTAACTAAAGTTATTTGAAAATTATTTTTAACTTCGGCCCGACGTTTCAGATGCTTTGCATGAGCCGTGGTCACGGGGAGCTGTGTATATCGCGTTTTAGACCGTTAAAGTGGTTTTATTTAAATGTGTACTAATCGAGTAAATTACAGGACAGTATTTATGTCAAGTAATATTTTAAACATACAAAATTTTTATCAAATTGGGTCCAGCCTTTTAGTTGAGAATATTTAATTTTTTCTACGAATTACATATCGTAACTGTATGTCGATTTGTTTGGTTCTGACAACCACCAAAACGACTTGGCGTGTTCTTGTATTTAGAATATTGTTATTCGTGAGTATTATACAAATGTGATCTGTTCCAAGAAAATAATAAAAGTGTTATTCTTGTAAACGTTGTTTATCTTGATTGAACCTACACAAAACCCCCTTTTAGAGGGGGAGGAGGATTACTGTATTCGACTAACTTTTTCGTAATGAGGCAAATTATAAGTATTTTTTCACGCATTCTCGGTCAGTCAGTATGGTGCACTTCTAGAATATATAGATTATGGATTTCGGTTTCAGACTGTGATTTTTGCGATTACAGCGTACAATAAAGCGTTATATGAATAAAGTAGGTAGTTCAACTCTTTTTTCTTTTTTACTTGGAGGAATCGACTCTTTACCCCCGTTGTTCACCTTCCATGAAGTGAGCCTTAGGCTTGTCTGTCCCCTTCGTCTTCTTCTGTTCTTAAAAAAAGATTAAAAAACAAGTTGCGATTAGGCTTGACATAAAACCTAATCTTCTTTAGATTTTACTGTTCAACAATTGCTTTTGATTACTGTATTAAAGTACTTCAATTAAATAAAAAATTGAATTTAAACTTAAAGAAAAAAATCTCTATTCACAGCTAATACCCGCTTAAGACGATCTTCCTGGGAAGATCCCAAAAACGCGTTTTAACCGAGAAAGCGTATTACGCAGGATAGGCAAAATAAAACGTTAGAATATTACACTACACTTTACTACTACTACTTTAACACTACATTTTAACATAAGAATTGATGGTCAGCTGTTAAAAACATGGTGAGTCGTTGTTAAATTAACCAGCTGTAAAGGTATTTAAGAGATTCAGCTATTTTAAATACCATTTTAATTTTATTAAAAGAATACTACATTATTACGGATCACACAGTTCATACTTCTCGATACAGTCTATAAGCCAACCGAGGGGCAAAGCCTTAAAATGTGACATATTATACATAGGTTTATACATATCTTTAAATATTATATAATGGGAGCACGTTTCTAGCTTCCCGCCTTCCTTGGCATGACTGGGAACTACCTTCTCAGCATCCGGAATCAACTCTGGATTTGGAACCCGATGCAGAACAACGCCATCAGCATCTGTTATTAATTTTGTTAAAATCTGCTTAGTTAGAACCAGAGTTTCAGAGATCTTATATTTAGTTACAAAATTGTGCAGGTAAAAGTGACAGCCCTCAAATAAACCGGGAAGTTGCTTGTATTTATTGTATCTAGCGTTTTTAGGCCCATTCAAATTATGATGCCCGATACCTTTAACTTCGTAATCTTTTAAGGGCTCTAGCCTTTCTTGTGTCGATTTTGTCACCCACTGGCTCGATAAAATCCATATTTCATAAACAATTCCCTGCAAAACGTCGACACTTGATACACAAGTACCGTTTTCTTCTGTGTCTACTACTAAGACATTCACTTTTTTAGTGAATTTTGCTTCTAAATGCAAATTGACATGTTTCTTTTCCAACAACTTCAACTTATTTGCAATACTCTGACAGTTTGATGCACTGTACAGTCTTATATCTTCAAAATCAAGTTCAGCCTGCATATCAGCTATATGTGTTACATTATTACCCTGTGTTTGTTGTACGCCTTCCATAGCCTCAAGTAAAACTATTTTCATTTCTTCTGAAGCTAACTGTAGCGGAGTTTCACTCTTGTTATTTCTCGCATCTATGTTAGCACCATTTCTAACTAGTTCCGCTGCTATATCTTTATGCTTGTATCGGACAGCTTCATGTAATGGAGTCTCATTGCTGGGCCCTGGTACATTAATTAATGTGTTATGCTGTAAAAGAAGTTTAACCATATCTAAACGGCCACTTTGAACAACTTCGTGTAACGGTGTCCAGCCCGCGTGATCTTTAGTATTTGTTTTTGCACCTGTGTTTAACAAATCCATAACTGTACTTATCTTTCCTTGCCTACAGGCTACATGGAGGCAGGTCTCACCTTTGGTGTTCTTTTTTTCCTTTCCTTTACTAGAACTAACCGTAGATAATAATGACATAATGACATATTGACATCGGTTCTAGAATTTTGTTGGGACACATTTTTGCGAACTTCTTCCTTGTTGGTTTTGTTTTCTTCATTTTCTTCGGAAATTTCGCTTCTCGACACATTTTCTTTCGACTGTCTTGTATTTGACTGGCTAGAACCAGATTTGATAGCTTGAAACATATTATCAAGTTGCTTAGTAGACTGAATGCAGTTTTCCAATGTTTCGTCAACGTATAGAGAACAGTTAAGCAAAGGTATTCCACAAGTCGGACATAGTTTTAGACTTGGAAAGTGTTCTGAACAAATAATATGAAAACAGGAACTTAGAACCGCTGGATTTACACACATTTCTTTACAATAACCACAGGTGTAATCTTGTTTGGCAGCGTCCAAGGCTTTCAGAAATCGGTTAAGCTTCTGTTTAGTACTCATTTTCATTAATAATTTGTTTTGAAACAACTAACTTAACACTCTTTGAAGTTTTAAGCCAATACCGCGAAATTCTGACTATAATATTTACAGCCAACAAAAGAATAAACGCTGTCAAATGTTAAGTTCAAAGTGTCATTAATGACATTGACAACAGTAATAAATTTTTTATTTACTTTGACTTCTTTGGCATTAGATGATATTTTGGAATTTATCATGAATCTGTGGAAATAATGTATATCAATAGTTATATAACTGTTATAGATTTTTACAATTTTATTTGAAAAATATTTTACAATAATAAAGATATACTTCTTCGATATACCTTATATTATATCTTATATAAGACTCTTTCGAATACCGAAATATTAAATAAAAATTATTCTATTAGGTACTTATTTAACTTATCACGGTTTATTAATAAATTACACTAATTAGTTAAATATACACATAAAAAACATTAACAAGTAGTAAAATGAAAGACGCACATTAGAAAAAGGAAAATTTAAGTAATCATAAATGTTTATGATTTATGATTACTTGCATGTGCCCATATAGAGTGTGCGAGGGTGAGGAGCTGGAGGCAGTGCCAGCTCTTGGTATCATAATGACGTACAAAAGGCGTTTGGTAGGGCCTACTTAATATTGCAAAGTTATAAATAAAATAATTTGGTTCATATCATTTAATTTTATGAGTAACTTACATTTATAACGTTAAATAAACATAGGACTAGACTCAATATCACAATTAAGGAATTGGGCATTCGTATAAATGCTTTATTCACATCGTCCGTTATTTGACATCTGTCAAACGTCGAATTCAAAATCTTGCTTTCAAAGCTAAACGGCATTGTGTCATAGGGATGCATATGCAAAATGCCTTCTAATACGAAAACGATGGCCACCGTTTTCGTATTATTATGGAACAAAACATTCATTTGATGATTAAATGGGCCGTATATCGAAAACATTGGATTGTGGAAGGGCTGCTGCTTGCCAAACAGCTGGTCCAGCTTCGTGAAAACGTTGATGATCTCGTGTCTTCTCATGTCTGTAAGATTCTTAGCAGCGTATAAGTGTCCGAGGTGAGCCCAACTTATGTAGCAGTATTTTGGATTCTCTTCGGGACATATTGGTACGATATCTACTGCGATTTCCGATCCGGACATTTCGGCTGAAAAGAAATTTTATATTAGTATTCAAGAAAAAATTCTACCAACGCTATAATAGTAGTATAGACTTTGAAAATTGAAAAGCTGAAGAGGTTTTTTGTTTGAACGCGGTAATCTCGGGAACTATAGGTTCGAATTGATTTTTTTGTGTCTAAACATTAAGATTCTACCAATAGGAGCGAAAAAACTGAGAGAAATTTAAAAAAAGGGGGAAAATGTTTATCCTAGTGAGAGTGAGTTGCGTACGCTACAAAAACGGTCCAAAAAATCAAAACAATAAGTAGGTATTTAGAAATAATTCCTCTTTACATTATTCTATTAAGATTAACTTTCAAGAGCGACGCGGTGAAATAAATGATATATTAGTATTAAAGACACAATTTTATCATCGCTATAATATTAGTATGGTTGAGAATTGAAATAAATTCAATTCTCAACATCCTGAAGAGTGTATATGTTTGAACGCGGTAACTATAAATTCGAATCAATTCTTTTGTGTTAATATTACCATTTATCGAGATAGGCTTTAGGCTATAAAGCATTAAGACCAATTGGAGCGAAGAAATAGAGAAATTAAAAAAGGGGGAAATATATTCATCCTTGTGGGTTTCCGTTGCGTACACTGCGAAAACGATTTAAGAAAAAATAATGGAATTATTCCTCATTAAATAAGCTAAAAAAAAATCGGCAAAACTACATGTCTATCCAGATAAACTTTCAAGAGCGAAGGGACGTGACCGTCGTCGTAGGTAGCAGCTTGAATTTATAAAGATGAAGGGGAGGTTTGAAATAAACAAAGTCGGATGCCAAAATTAATATTCTACGCTGACAAAGTCGCGGACACAGCTAGTAATAAATAAAAAACAAACCTATATATTCATTATATGTTGCCATGCTCACGAATGCTACATCACTGTAGCCGTTGACCAGAGAGTATAGTGTTGTTTTCTCGTCTCCATCTGTCATATAGCAAGACTTGGTGAATTTTTCGATTACCGCTTGGCTGAAATTGTATTTTTGGATCCCAGGAGCGCAAATCTCGCTAAAGTAGTTATTTAACATGGTATCGCAACTTTCCGTAAAATATTCGATAACCGAGTGCCAAGCGAAGCCATCGTAGCGCGGGAAGGCCTCCCTTTTCCCGCGCAAATCCGCCATTTTGTTAATATTCGCGCCTTTTTTGACGTATGCGACAACTGTGTTCATTTTCTCTACTATCGGCGTAACTTCGTAAAGAATCGGCTTTAAGTCGAAATCTCTGAAAAAAAAAGTAGTTTAACAGAGAGAACCATAACATATTAATGTATAATATAGTTCTCTGTAGTTTACGCAAGTATGATCGTACACTATTAACAGTTTTAAACGTGAAGTATATTAGTAGACTTTTAGTAGCAGCCGTAGTCACGAGACCACGGCTGCTGCAAAACATCAAAAACCGTTTAACCGTTAAACATTAAGAATTAAATAGTTAAACGCACACTATTTCGCGTTTTAAACCGTTAATTGTTTTATTTAAATGTATGATTTATATGTAGCAACCTATACAAAAACAAACGGTATAAAGCACAGTGCTGTTCTTCATTTATAATTTATACAGTGCCATAATGTGAAAATTTTAAAGTTTACATACCTTGTGGCTGTCAGCATCCAGTCACTGTCCACCGCTGTGACGTCACTGTCTTGCTGTTTGACAGCATCCAGGCACGCCTCCTCGCTGTCTCTCAGCGTGCACTGCAAAGGTGGTGTGATTCCGTAGACTGCGCCCGCTTCGCTTAACCACCCACATTTGTTCTTTGCAAGGAGAGACGTGGTGCAAAGCGTCACATGCCTAAAGAGATGTTTTAAATATTTGTTTAGGAAGGGCTTACTAACATAATAATAAAAAAAAAGGTATTGTCTGTAGTTTACGCGAGTAGACATTTTAATAGAACATGAGGCCGATAGAGGCAGAGTAGCCTAACTGCAATTTTATAAATTGACTTATTTATATGTTTATAATCTAAAAATGTTAATCGACAAGAGCACAGTGGCCGAAAATTGTTAACATAATTCTTACACACATAGTACAAATTCAATTTCGTCTATCTTAATTCCGCATTTTTATTTTAATCCTTGTTGAAAATCGTGTTTTTGTTATAAAGCCACTCCGGCTCTAGTAGCCTCATATGTGAAATATATTTCGGAATCCGTTGTAAAATAAATTGTAAATAAGTTCAAATACATATCGCGTTTTAAACCGTTAAAAGTGTTTCCGAGCAAAAACCACGAAATATTTCCGTGCAAGCCTCGGTGTAACACAGATAGCGCTGTCTCTGTTACAATTTGTATTTGTTTAGTTTACGCGTTAATAAATCCGTTTGAAACGCGATTCGTTCAACAAAAGCTGAGTGGTGTCCCTCCACATACATCTATTATTATTTATGTCATTGTATTTTTGTATGTGGACTAAATGATTTGATTTGATTCGGTTTGGTTTGAAATACATACCTTGGGGGATCGCACCCACTCTGACTGTACGCTTCTCTGAACCCCCTCGCTGTAGCCAGGTGGTCTAACGGTGACCTGGGCGGGTACAGCGGAGTCGGGGCCTCACGGACCTCTAGAAGGGCCGATAGGGCCCCGTGCCAATGTCCGTCGAAGAGGGCCCCGTCTGTCAACGAGCTTATCAACTTGCTCACAGATGCTGCCACTTTTCTGAAATGCGAAATACAATTAAGGCTAACGTAAAGGGCGGTAGTCCAGTGTCCAATTCTCTGTATGGCCAATAACCAATGTGACATTACAAGATTCTTTGTCGATCTATTTTGGATTTTGATTTTCGTAAATCCACAGACTAAAATCGAAACACAAATAAACTTCAACGCTTATTCATCTCTATTGTCAGTGGTTTGTGACCCGGACGGAGTTTCGATATTTCTACCGTCCATTTAATATCAACTTCTGTCTATAATTTACGCGAGTAGTACACATTTAAATAAAACACTTTTCCGGTTTAAAACGCGATATATTAGTTAAACTTATTTGGAAATGATTTTTAACTTCGGCCCGACGTTTCGGATGCTTTGCAGCAGCCGTGTCTCCCCGTGACCACGGCAATCGGTACCAGTCTCAGCTATGCTGCTGAATGCTTGTCACCCTCAGAATAGAAGGGCAGGTCCCGTAACAATCAATAATCTGTAGTTCATAATGTCTCACCTCTTAGCGACCACAACGGGCCAGGGTCTATTCAACCAGACGCACGGTCTCTCGTTGTTCTTTAGAGGCTGCCAGGACCCATCGCGGCAGAGGTACGCGAAGTTATCTGATGAAGGATAGTCGCTGGATGCTTCGTTTAACTGAAATCAACATTATGTTAGTCTACAAACTCAACATATACACAGCAACGTTTATAGTGGATGAATTGTTTAAATAAAACTCTTTAACGGTTTAAAACGCGAAATGTATAAGTAAAATTTATTTTAATATTATTTTAACTGCGGCCCGACGTTTCTTCGTTTACTAACGGGGTCGTCGCGTTTGCCGGTATGCTGTTTTTTGGAATCTAGAGTTTTTAAACGTTTGGCCGTAGTTAGACATATTAAAATAAGTTAACTTATATATATCGCATATGAAACCGCGAAAGTGTTTCACATTATTTAAATGTTACAGACAGTATTTGGTAAATTGATTTAAGTTTTGTCTGTAGCAGCGAATACACATTGAAATAACCAGACAGCCGTTACAGCGGCTACAACAAAGAATCCAAAACGGTTGGCCGCACGTTTAAGATTTTGTTTTTTCTGTCAAACCCGTTTAATTCAACATCTCTCGCGTTAACTACAGATAATACTTATAAGATGGTTCCTTATAACACAACACAATAGATCTAGATTACAGGTCAATTATTAGATTCAAATACTAAAAATTAGATCAAACATTAAACAAATCTAAAAATAAAAAGTATTTACGTAATATAAGAGAACTAAATGTCCACGCTTTAAGCTTCCGACAATATCGAAGCATACCGTTTCCTTTTTAAAATATTGTCTATATTTATTCTCTGTAAAATTATAAAAATTATTTAGATTCGCCATTTTTTTTGTCTATCTGTTTGTCGTGACTGAAGAGCAACATAACTGAGAACAAGTCTTATAAAGTAATACATTGTGAATTTATTAACCTAAGGAGCAATTCATATTACTTAGTGTTGTCATTAAAGAAATCGTGCAGACAATAATACGCCTTTTGAGACAATCTAAATTTTATAACTTTTCTCAATTTTATTAATCGATAAATTTGAAACCTCAACTGGCAATGTATTGTATATACGAATACTATATTTGGGGATAGCTAGGTTATCCTTATTTCGTAAGTTCAAATTATGCCTATAACTATCTTGCTAAACTTGCTTTCATTCTTTTGGGCATACAATACATGTTCATAAATATACTGCGAGTACACAGTAAGTATGCCGATATTTTAAGGTATCTCTTAATGACTCCCGAGATCCCATACCATAGATAGCCCGGACCGCCCTATTTTGCAACACAAATATATATTCAATGTCGGCAGCGTTACCCCACAGTAGTATGCCATATGTCATTACACTGTTTTAATGTCTGTTAATTGTTTGAATCTTTTTTACGGCAAAGGCTGTAGAACTGAGTTTGCTCGAGGCTTTCCTGATATGAGATCCCCATTGTAGTTTGGAGTCTAACGTTAAACCCAGAAAGACAGTTTCATTGCCCAATTTTATCTCGTCGTCACTCACCTTAACACTGGCTTTAGCTAACCTAACATTTGGTAAAGTGAATCTGTAGTCCTTAAGGGACCGTTCATATTTTTTTGTTTCATATTGTAGTTCAAATTGCAAACTTTGGATTTTTGACTCTAAATGTTGTGTGTCGATGTAGTATTTTAAATGACTTTGTTTAAGGTCTAACATGGTCGATCTAGCTTGTTCTCTTAATTTTAAATTAAATTTAACTCTTCCTGATTACGATTGTGTGATATTTTAATTGTTTTTTGACCGTTTGATGAATGTATTAATTTTGAGGCTTTTTTTTAGTTTCTTCTTACTACAAAATAAAACTGACTTGTCTGGTTGGTATGAACTATTACTTGTAAGGTCTGTAGTGGACAAGTCTAGGTTTGGGACATCAGCAGAAGGAATTAACTGGGGGGCACTACTCATTAGCTCGTTATACAAAGTTTCGGTTTCACAGACAGAGACGCGTTGGGCACTTTCTTCCAAGTCTAAGATCGATAAGACATCAAGATCGTAGAAGTTTTAAATGAAGTTTCGTTAAGTTTTTTCGTTTGTTTACTTACACTTAGGTATTAAGATTATTTAGTTAAATCTATTGAAAGAAGTTAACTCTTTCTTTATATATAAATATGTAGATGCCGTGTGGGTCTTATAATACGCATACCTGAGATTCTATCGTGGGCCACGGAGGGGGGTATCCTCTCCTTTGTACATGAAAAATGTAATCCTTCGGCACGTATCGAAATTGGCATATTAGACCTAGGTATAGACCTAATAATACAGCGAATGTCATATTTATCTATAAACATTTAAAGAGGGTTAAACTATTCTTTCATACAGTTAATCTGTTGGTAACCGTTAGAAGGTTATTGAAAACGGCCCTTATAGTTGTTTTAAGTCTCCTAATGAACGTGAACCGCATCAGGAAATTAATTCAAAGCTATTTATAGATAATACTCTTAACATACAGACATACGATGTCACATACGTCGATCGATGATAGAAAACGGTAAGGACAAAATTTCAGTTTAAATCAAAGATAACGCCCGCGTTTCTGTTACTTAATTTTCTACACAGTGATTTCGTTTTACTAGAGGAAACATCATGGAAATTTTCTCATAGGTAGTTCTTTAATAAAGCTTTTCCGGTATTTGAGCCCGACATACGGAAGTAGTTCTCAAATAATAACAAAATTGTACGAAACAGTAAAAACAAAATTCTGCGTTTACAATTTGTAATTGTAAACCGATTATTCACGTTACCGCGCTACGGTGCTCTAGTGAATTTCAATGTAGCTCAATTATTAAACATATTTTTTGTCCATGAGAAGTTCCGAGTTCAAATTCCGAAGAAGCAATAAATTGTTTTGGCTGCTAAGAGCGTAGTAGTCTGATAAATTACTGACTTGTAGATAATATCGGTTGAACGGACACAGAAATGTGTTCGCCCTACGCTTTTATAATGAAACAGGCTTTCACTTACTCAAATATTATCTTGAGTTATTGTATAGTTTATTCCTTTTGGGTGTAAAGTTACAGATGAGTGCTCTTGATGGTTGGAGATATATAACTATTTCCTGAAGCCAGAAGTTATGCTGTGACAGAAAAAAAACAACTCCAACGAACTGACCAAGTCCCACAAATAGGAAAGTTCCTAAATCAGTGCTTCCTCCTTTAATATACATCTTGAAATTAAAACCCGAACTTTCGCAATAGTTTTAGAAATGTTTTAAGTCGTGTACACACAATTTGCGGAAAGCGACTGAAATATTTATTTAAACTCGTAGCTCCTTCTGCCTGATATATTTTACAAAGTGAAGAGATACATCCGAATAGTTTGAACTTACTAATATTTAGAGTCAGTCCGAATGTAGATTGAACGAAACAAGATATTTTTCTTGTAAACGAATGTAATATTTTAAAGTCAGGGATTTATATCTTAAGATCTCGAGGCAACCGCTTGATACTAGGTTTTTACTATAAAATTCGTAAATAATTATTTAGAAACTGAATATGGATTTAACTGAATATGGATTTAACGCTTTTCAAATTTAATGGTTTTGATGCCCCAATATGATTTGCAGATATGTTTTCTTAATCAATTGTACGTCATTGAAAAAATTACGTAACGAATTAAAAACAGTGGTTAGGCTCTCACAGTCACTTTACTTTGAACATGTTTTCTGTTGAAAATCCATTGGCACGTTTTGTCAAACACCATATCAGTATTAAACGTAATCGAACTACGGAAAGTGACGTGAACTTGACATAGCAGTTGAACACGCATGCCCAAGCCCCGGCAGAAAAGTAGGCCACGATTCTTCCGGTCCCACTTACAATTACGACGCTAAAGATAACGGACGAGATAAAATGTCTAAACATTTTTCGCCGATTCACCCATTTTACTAAGAAATAATATCATAGATTTTTTGACCGACCGTTAAATCAGCGTCTGTAGCTAATTCCGAAACTGACAGTCATCTTTATAGTTGAATTACGTCTTACTTAAGTGTTCCTTTCGAAAATTTAGTCTTTAGGTTTTAACTGGTGTGACGTGACCAATATAAATAAATAATGTATGACTTCGACTTTGACGTTTCTAGAATTGACACAATTCATGATCTACATAGTACTTCTACAATATTGATTAACCTAAAAATTCATAAATCCTAGTCTAGCCGTTTCTCATTTTAACCTACCTATATCCCACTGCTAAGCACGAGCCTTTTCTCTCAAAGAAGGTTTTGCTTGAGTTACCACAATGCTCTAGTACTTAATGTTCTTGGCTATCACTACCACAAAATTGGTATTTGATAGCCAAGACCACAAAACTATCTACTTACCTACTTGCTGCTTTACGCAGTGTTGTTCGATTACAATTCTAACTATTAACACATTTATATTATATTATAGATATTTCTATAGGAACAGTTCTACAATCTTAAAGTTATGTTAGGGTGTTAAGCGTTAGCGTTAAAGGTTTCATACCAGAAGAGAGTAAAGGAAGCTTAAAGTAATTATATGCGTTTCCTATTATTATAGATTTGTTGTTTGTCTGTTTGTTACCAAGTGGTATTTCAAGCGCCATGATAAATGGACTCAATTCATAATAACATTAAGTTCACAATGGAACAGGAGGACAATATCACACTACCTTTCTTAGATATACCGTCTTTAGAAAAACAACCCATACAGATAGGTATTTGAACGGTGACTCACATCACCACCCCAGCCAGCTTAGTTCTGTCAGAGTATCTTTGTTTCAGAGAGCCCGCCGTCTCTGTGAGGCTGCCCACTTAAATGAGGAGTTACAGCATGTCAAGCAGGTCCTATGCAAGAACAAGCTGAGAGTCCCTCCGCAACATTCCAGGAATAGGAACAAGCCACCCACAGTCAAACGTCAGGCCGCCTACCTACCATATGTGAAGGGAGTTACAGATAGAATTAGAAGAGACCTAAATCGAGCTTCTATTGACACAAGCCGCACAAGAAGATTCAGCAATTCCTGAAACCAAACAAGTATACTACAAATCAACATCCCTTTACAAGATGCAGTCGTTTACAGACTGGATTGTGATTGTTGCCTATCCTACATCGGCCAAACAAAGCGTAGCATCTCAAACAGAATTAAAGAACACGTCGCGGATATAAAACATAAACGTCTCTCCAAATCTGCGGAATGCCAACACTCATCGGAAGGGCCTAATCATTACAATCGCTTTGACCAGCCAAAAATCCTCGCAAAGGAGAGTCCATTTTAGAAAAAAACGCGAAGTAATTGAAATCAAAAAATACCGAAATTTCAATAGGGAGGACGAGAAGTTTATCCGTTACATACAAAAATACAAATCTTTCCTCTTTCTATTAGTATAGAAAACGAAGAAAAATAAGAAATTATCTCGTATCAAGCAAGAACTATATGGCCTGTACGTTAGAAAATAATATAAAATCTTAAGCTTTGTAGCATAATAACAGATTTCAGTAAAGATATTTATAGACCGAACAGTGGAGTGATTCGAAATCCAGATAGCGAAATGAACATTTGAAGGTTAACTGAATTTCAGTAATTCATTGGATCGAGGCAACTGCTTGTTGCATATTTCGCTTCAAAATCATTGTTATAACAGTTACTAAATTTAGACGCTTCCTATTACTGACTATTCCAAGCTGGTCAAACAGTATCCGTATATGGCTAATTACAACGTGCCATACGTTTGATTTCCGTGTTTGAGAGCTCAGAAAAATCCAGTCCATTTTTTAACGCAAATGATTTCTAATTCATGTAGGCACTATATGATTTAAAAATCGATAATAAATTACATTGCGCGAGAAGTACATATTGTATCAATAAGTTGAAAAAAATCTACGATGAGCTGTACGAGATGTAGCTCAATTTGTTAGAGCAACAGGGTACACTGAGGATGCCGGTTCAAGTCCCGCCGAGTCGTAAATCTTTTAATTCATATTAGAGCTTAAATTTAAAATCTAGTAAGAAAATAAAACGGAAAACAAACCGCGGGACATGCTGTCAATGTTATTACACTTAAAATATAATGCCATCATTTGAAACATGTGAAAAAATTGTAGTTTAAATGTTAGACCTGAAAGATCTGGCAATTAAACAGTTTGATGAAATTATCGAAATTCCACACGGTTCGATGAACCATAAAAATATATCTTACCAAGTATTGATATACATATAAGGTGGTTTCATCTACTAATGTGTTCTTGTTCTTTATTGTACTCAATGTTATTCTTATAATGATTTTTTATGCACTAGAGAAAGAGTCTTAGACCAGTGTCTCCACGCCGAAAGTTTAGAGCTAGCACTAGATTAGGCTTCTTATAGGACCAGATAAGCCCGGTTACACTTGTTATCTGTGATATTATACAATGACTAAAATATATAAAAATAAAAGCGCCAGTAATTTCAAAGTTTAGATTAATTTTCAACTTATACCTGGGCGAACTTTGGATATTGATCAAGTGCTTTCGGTTCATGTTATACGTAAGGCTTCGGTCTCCTATAAAGAGAGACATAGTGGTAAGTGAAAAATAGATTACTTCCCCAACTTACACAATAAAAGTTAATACGTATTTTTAAAAAATAATATAAATTATTTGTTATAAAATAATCCTAAAAAATAAATAAATTAGAGTTTAGTAGAAAAATGAATCCATTTTTCTACTAAACTCTAATTTATTTTCATATAATACAAGAGTTCCAAAACTAAAATGTTTTATAGAAGGGGTAATTCAATTTGTCAAGTGACTGCCATGCTCGTCAGTACTTCTATGTCAAAGAAAAGTAAAATAGCTGGCCAATCCCTCTTTAAACCACTCAATATCAATAAATATCACGGCATATATACAAAAGTATGCTAGGAAAAATAATTATACACAACGACTTAAAAGATGTGATAAGTTAGTTACAATTATTTAGAATCATACAAAGAAAAACGTTTGAAGATAAAAATAATGAAATGTACTAAGCAGTAGTATAGAGTTTACCACAGCCTAACTGTATGTTTTACTTAGGCGGCATTTTATATTTTCACAATGTAAAATTTGAGTTTATATATGAAACTATCTGGGATGTAATTCATTCGGGGTTGGCCCGTGAACACATAATCCTTAACATAATATAAAGCATTTTGACTGTAAACACTAAAATATTAATAATCTAAGTCTTAATAATTAAAGAATAAACTTAGAATTTTTCTTTACTCTGCCACCGAAAATTAATCAGCAATTATCGGAAATTGTATGTAGCATTCACAACTTGTGTAATTCTAGGAATAACGTTCTTACTATGAATTAAAATAATTTGAAGTTTCTTATATATTACTCGCGCAGAAAAAAACGATGTTCTGTAATAAATCTATAATATAATAAAGCAGAAAAGTTTATTGAACGCCCTAATTTCAAGAACTATAGGTTAGAATTGAAAATTCAAATTCAAATTCAAACAAATTGAAAAACATCTCTTTGTGTTGGTTGGAGCATTATCGAAGTAGCCTGTAGCTTATAAAACATCAGGCTGCGAACAACAAGAGCGAAGAAACAAATGTGGCAAAAATATCTGAGTTTCCGTTACGTGCGCTGTAAAAACATTAAACATGTGTGTCAACAGATTTATTCTTTTTTAAATAATCTAAAAAATATCCGGGTAAGTACATGCCTATCTTTTAAGATTAACTAGCTAAGCTGGCCTAAATGCTTCATATCGCAAGATATTGTTTGCCAGGTCATCTAGTATTACATATAAATAAAGTAATTAAATCATAAATAATAACTAATTTGAGTTGTTGCTAGACTTAGGAACGGGCGGTTCGCATTTCACGGGGCTAATGAGTATACAAAACATATTTTCCTACAATAGTTAATTGTAGAATACTTATATTTATTTTTAGCCCTAACACAAAAGACGTATTATGAGTATAGGGGAACCAACGATCTTTAGGGCGGGTTGTTTCCAGCTACCTGTTAATTGATAACGTAGGTTGAATAATACTGTTGATTTATCGTTAATTAGCGGGAATATTTTTCTACTAGCTTTTCTCATGACCTTTTGGGCATCATGTTTTTCATTTAATTCAATTTGCAAAGATGCACGTCAATTTAATAAATAATAGCTAATAGTAGTCGTTCTTGCAAGTTAATCTTAGAATATAGACAGATAGAAAATAAGTATCTTTTTTTCATACGTTATTATTGGTTTCTTAAACCGTTTTCTCGGTGCACGAAACGGAAGCCCTTAAAGATATATCAATATCCCCGTTTTTTCAACTTTCTTTTTTTTCCAATTGGTTGCAGCCTGGTGTTTTCTAACCAGCACAAAAATATTTTTGTTTCATTCAAACGAAAAAACAAACTATTCGTCTTAATAATATTAATATAGGTAAGTCCTTATATTTAAAGTGCGTTTAATTTAATCGAATTGTGTCAATTGTTGCAGCAAAATGCATTGCAAAGCGTAGCGGTCCTGGGATTAAATTCCACAGAGACAATATAAATTTGTTGGTACCGATACAGCCCGCAAGCAAGCTCGGCGAGTATTGCCAACTAAGAAATGTGTTACTTACTTTAGTGGTATAGAAAATAACCGTCCGTCAGTTAAACATTATCAAATTTACCTGCCCTTAATTAACCATAAATGTGAATAAAAGCTCATTGTTTATAGGTTTACAATTTATTTCCAAGAATCTGTATATTATTATATCAGAGTGGCCTCAGTTCAAGCGTTTTTTAGTAGGGAAGAAGAGATTGAATTGAAAACACCTTTCTTAAAATTTGTCTACAGATTAAACTTGTACTAGTGAAAAAACGTAGACTTGTGTCTGCTTCATGCATCGCATAGATTAATAATTCATGCCAATTAAAACAATTTTTTTAAATAATTACTACACGGGAAGCACTTCAACAGTCCGCAATATTCCGTGATGTTCTCTAACCAATTGAACTACCGTGTCCTTCACGTCATCGTTGATTTTTCAACCTAATGATACACGTACATCTTGCGCACTCGATTTTTATAATCCATCCATCCGGTATAATAACATGTGAAGAATATTAAGGTTTTCAAATTATGCAAAATTTTCGTGCGTTCGTCAGTGCTAAGAATGTTAGTTAGTACTAGTAATTGACGGCTCTAAGGATTATTACCAGCTTGAAAATGCCCTTTGGATTTTCCTAAACACCTTAGGAAAGTCTGGATTAAAATGGGTCCAAAGATGGAATACCGTGAAGTGTTAATCCGCCCGTCCATTCCAATCTGTAGATTTCCGAATGTCTAAGCACGAACAGCACATCTTAATTAAATGTTAGGTAGAACACCCTTAAAAAGTCAATCTTAATTTTGTTTGCAGTGAAAAAACACGTGCAAATGTAAACAAATTATATGATTATTTTGCTTCATATTTAGTTTAATTTTCACAGCTAAGTGAAGTAAAAATAATTTTTGAATATATCAGTTTCTGTAACGAAACAACATACTTTTAATACAAAATATATTTTTTTATATATAATATAAAAGTAATTAATTAATTTGTATCAAAAAGTAAATAACTTTTAAATAGCTTTTGCTTGATTTGCTTTGCTTTGGGTTGATTTTAGCGCTTCCAAAAAAACAACTGGTTTAGTTTTAACCACTTACTGTATTTTAAGAAATTATTATCTATATTTATACAAAATACCTCTGCCTTACTGAAAAATTTGCTAAATTATATATTACATCATATATGCATCCAAAATCTCTCACCTATCATAAGATAAATTACTACATGTTGCAAATCCAGTAAAATTATTAAAGAGAAACCCCTCTTTAATTGTAACCTAATTAATTAAAAATAACATGTTGATCTGCTCCTAATACGTAAACCGGAAATTGTTCGGTTTTGACAGAAAATGACCATCAAACATAACTTGAAAACTGTTTGGCTCCACTTTATTAGTAAAATAATATAAATAGTTTATTTTACACTTAAAACATCTACATTTTAATAACATAGACAAAATATAGGATAAATCCTTTCATATAACCTTTGGAATTGGCCTGGTTGACGGAAACCGAAGGTGACGCTTCGGTCGGGCTGTAATCCTTTATAATCACCTAATACCCGGTTAACGTAGCACGTCTACGCGGTTCGTAGCAGCTCTACGTATTGCTATGGGGAATTATTCTCGGGCGCTACGGCGTAGTGATCTATAATTGCACTTGATTAAATTTTTTATTTAAAACAAATTTCGATTATATTTTTTTTAATTTCTTGTGTTTTAATTTAGATAGACTACACAAAACAAGGAGTGAACTATTTGTCACCCGAGCCACGATAGTATATACGCTTTTTTATAATGTAGATATTAGCCTGTTCTTCTTGTTAACAAATAATACAATTTATGTACATTTAATAATATAAATATTATATTAACGAATATATAAATAAAGGAAAAATCTTGAATTTAATATTTTTATTGCATACAGAGCGAGAGAAAATTAAATTAAATAATATATACATTTCTAAGTATCTATCGAGGAAAACTCCTATATAAATCAAATTAGACTCCAATAACAGTACACGAACCGTTTGCCCGTAAAATTTGAAGTGAAAATTTGTTGCGGGTTGGATATTCCACTGGTAGAAATTCTATATTTTTATAATCTCACTCAACTCATATACTTAAAATATACTTTTAAAATAATTATATGTGTTCTATGTTGACCTAAATTCAATATTTATATCTAATACACACAGTTTTTAAACAAAAAACAATAATATTATTCTTCTGATATGTATATAAATACGCGGGCATTATCTAGTTGAGGATAAAAAGAGTTTGAAAATAATTTTCGATCCCTGACCCTAAAATAACTTGTTGTGTCTCATATAATCAAAGAAGATCCCGAAATTGATATGCCTATTATAAAAAGTGAAGGTAAGGGCCGGGGGGTCGTCTCAGGGTTGTCGGGACATAAATTATATGATCAACAGGTCGGTAGCACTTGTTGAAGTAGTAAATTGAATTGGGCGAGTACAATGTTCTGTGCGCTAAAGCAGAACGACGCCTCGAGGGGAGTGATAATTTACAAGTTAATTACTCTAAATTTAATTTTTCCTTTCCGTCCCATGGGGGACTTTTCTTCCACAAAAAAGAACATAAAGCGGCCAATAAACTAATAAAGAATAATTTAGCGACGTGATTGATATAATGTTATTTGTTCATGCAACCATACATCAGTTCCGTTTGACTTATAACTTATTTTGATGATATATAATGTAGCCAAGACGACTCTTACAGTTCTAGTGGTTAACACGATTTTGCTATTAAGTTTACAAATTTAAAAAAAAATCTATTCTTAAATATAAAACCGTAATGATATATCGCAGTGACTAATTTATGACCTGGTCTTTCGTTCATCATTCTCCATCCATTTAAGTATCAAGACCGAACCGAACCGATTGAAGACATTATTTATAACTTTAATAGGATATCGTTTTTTGCTGTCTCAAAGAACTTTGTATGGTCTGTGACTAATCACTGATGGTAATTTTGTGGATCCTTAGGTTTTAGGTGGCAGCCCTGGGCATGCGGGGGTGAGCGGCAGGGACGAGGCGAAGAGCGGGAGCGACGCGGGTGTTCGCTACTCGGCACTGTGTCTTCAGCCTCCGAGCTGTACACACGAGCTCGCAGGAGGCTCCGTTATTCGCGTGTAATCCGTTGGCCCCCGCGGCCGCCAAAGGCTCGAAACTGTGGTCTAGTGCGGTCAAGGCGTTCAAACTCGTAAGACGCGACTCCGCCTCGAGAGACTCGGGTGAGTTTCACTTATAAATCTAACTTAAAAAAGGTTCGTGTCGAGGCAACGCATTCATAAGTTAGCCTGCGCCGTGTAGTAACGGGAAAGTGAAAGTCTTTTGCATCAACAGGTCTCTGTCTACCCTTGTATGGAGGTGTTGAGTCCTCTGGACGCTTTCATAAATTATGTATCTATAAAACTAAATGGAAGGGCTAAAACGAGCGAAATTTTTGACTTAAGTTATGGTTATATGTCTGTAGATTTAAGCGGTTACTTGAAGTAGTATAGAAATTTATGATTTATATGATTTATAATGAGGATTTAATGGTACGAATACGTCGTACCATTATACGTCGTTGTTATTTGTTATTTGTTAACAACTTGTACGATACACATGTACATGTGTATCGTACAAGTTGTTTTATATGCTAGATCCAAACCAGATTAGTTTGTTTGATTGGACGCAAAAATAAGAAAAAATAAGAATTTGGTAATAAACCGTTAAAAATTTCTAGATTTTTTTATGTAAATAAAACATCCTAATACGCGAATGATCGTAGTTGTAGTTCGGTTTTATCGATTTATAACCGATAGATCCTGGGTTCCAATACTGAAATATAAAGTAATTATCGTAACTTCTTGTATACTTAACCGAGGTTAAATTTTTAATAGTTAGACCTAAACTTTTCCCAAAATTCGAAGTGTCGATTTAGAGTAAACATATTTTTCCAATGTGCTACGGAGAAAGCTAAGGGTTTTATTATATATCTTCAAAAATAAGATAATAGTATTCTAGAAATTCACTGAACAGCAGCTATTTGAACTTGTCGACCTGTTGCATTAACTTCCCTTGAAATGAAATCGACTGTGAAATATACACGGAGCTTAGTAAAATTTTAATATAATTATGTAATAAAAATATTTGAAGGTAAACATTTTTAAAACACTTTTCACGTTATAAAACCCATATTTTATATTAGTCCAAAGCCTCCTTAGCTTTGCAGCCTTCAGGAAAGGGTTTTCCTTATTTATTTTATTTTTTCGGTGCGTTGCGAAATTCGCTCTTGCGTTATGTACTAAAATCGCCTCATTATGTAATCAGAGGTACGACATTAAAATGACTGACAATTAATTACTAAAACTTTTAGATAATCTATTTATCTATAGTGAACGCGAGCACAATCTTGTGACAACGCTGCGTCGTCTAAATATTAATAATAACAAAACCAATATATTTCGCGTCTTAAATCATAGTTTGATTTAATTAGAAATCAAAGCTGAAGATGAAGAAGCGATGTACAGTTAATTAGTTTGGTCGTTTTTATTGCTGATTCAGTGCCGAGAAAACACTAAGTCAAATTCAAAAATCATACATACATGTAGGTAATACTTATAATCGACACACCAAATATTTAAAAGTTCGGTTTATATAGACCGCGACAGAGCAATCGTACACTCAGCTGTTTGATCAAATCTTCTTATTCAATATTGTCCATAGTTTACGCGAATAGTACACATTTAAATAAAACACTTTAACGGTTTAAAACGCGATATATTAGTTAAACTTATTTGAAAATTATTTTTAGCTTCGGCCCGACGTTTCGGATGCTTTGCAGCAGCCGTGGTCACGGGAAGACAGTCTCCCCGTGTTTTATTTAAACGACACACCAGTTTAAACCTAAAAACTGTAAATCTACATTTACCACTAGTTCTCCAATCGATTTAAAAAGTTTTTGATATACATATTTAAACTGCAAACGTAAGGTATGAAAAGTCACTTTTCTTAAACTTGCATATTGAATATTTATCTACACGAGAAAAAAACTCTAGTATTGCTTTCTCGCTGATTTCAGATAATACTTAGTAGTATCTTTCACTGATAAAACATCCTCTTAGCCACATTTTTTTTTTTTAATACATTAAGTTATAATTACCCGATCCGTTTGTTTGTACGTGAACAAAGAATCCCGGGTTCAAATCCTGGATCGGGTAAAATACTGAATATTATTGAAAATAGTCATTTCTTACAGCCGTAAATAGAGAACATATAATATACTGGCGATACGAGTTGAATCCCACCATGCCATGGTGATACAGCTTGGTGGGTCTGAGCTCTTACGGCACAAGAGATCTATGCCCATGTCCTGCGCATATGTACATAATATAATACGTGGAATATTAATCGTTTGGGATGTTTGGAACGTTACGCAAGTTATATTTTTTTCTTCTTTCTTTTTTTTTACTTTTTAACTACTATTAGGTAACATTGGAAAAAAAATATGTAAAAATACCACAAGGTGGTGTATGTTTGCAAAACATCCAGTCTTCGAGCCGAAGACGGTTCGATAAGGAAATTTGAATTATTCTTTGAAATCGATGTCACTATTATTACAGGCTATGATATCCGTTTCAGGATTTAAATATTGGTTAGGTGTTTTTGGGTGACATTTTCACGAGTAGTATTTTTAAAATGAAGATGTTTCTACTAACCAAGCTGATTAGAAAAAAGGAACCTAGAAGAACCTATATGTTGAGAAAACAGTTTAACGGTTCTTTTACCGCCTTTAACTTTTTTTTAAACTGATAACCCATGCCGAAGAAGGATTTTACTTATTTTTCCTTTTTTTAGTCAATTTCAAAGTCTTGCTGTAGCCACGCGATGTTAATAATGTCAATCAATCTTACATATCAGAATTTCATTATTGGGAAATCTTCGATGCGGTAACTTAAATATTTGCGAGATTTTATTTTAGTCTTATAATATTAATAATGAACAAAATTTATGAATATTTGCCACAAAAACATAAGTATTAAAAGTTAAATAAACTTATCACTAATTTTGTATTGCATTTCTGGGATATCACACCTTTTGACGAGAACGAAATATAGTATCTAGTATATAATAAAAAATTTAAAAAAAAAGGATTTATTCTTAAAAAAAGAGAATTAAAAGCCGAAAAAAAATATTAATTTCACTTTAACCCGAGAAGTGGGACTGGGGACATTTCCGCTGGCGCGTTTGACTATAAACCAAGTTGAAACTACAATGTACATAAATAATAAATGGTGCACTATAACTGTAAATGTAATTAATAAAATAATTCCACATTACCTTTCAAATAAGTTGGTTTAATTTTTTATTACCACCATCATTGACAGTTACCACAAGTTGGATTCGGGCTATGTACACCAAGCCTGGAAATGCCTGGAGATGCATGTAAATATCTTGTCAAAATTCGTTGTATTATCTTATAATATGTTCCTTTAAATAAAAAAAATGCAAAATTGGTTCGATTCCCGGGAAACGGTCGTGCATGACATAGAGGTCAGATCAACAACTTGCTTTTAAATAAAATACATCAGTGAAACGTAAACATAAGTGTGTTCGCCCCATACGAACAAGATTTTCTGTTATAGTGATTTATTCATTAGTATTCGTTAGTAAGCATGTTTGTTTTTAAAATACTAGCCGTGTCAGCGACTGCGTCCGCGAAGATCGATCTTTATAAACTTAAGCTGTTACTCACGACGTCCATCGCATCCCTTCCCATCGTTCTTAAACGTTAATCTTAAAAGATAGAATGATCTAAGTAACACAAAAATAATTTTTCAATTCGAAACTCACATAGCTCCTGAGATTAGCGCATTCAAACAAACAAACTATTCAGCTTTAAATATTAGTATGGATATATTAATAATATTCAATAACACAGCATATTACATGACAAACGAAAATTGCTTACGGTTAACACGCGACATTATCCAAAGCACATTAAAATATATCTGATTTGTGAATTGTGGACGTTTCAAATTTGGTAATGAATGAATATATATTCAATAAGTAAACAAGTATTAAATAAGTATAATACTTGTTTCAAAGCACCACGTTTATCTGCGCAAGAGCAATATGAGCGCTGTGGTTGTAGATTCAAGTCCCGCCCAAACCGATACCGAATCTAAACTAAATTTGAAACTTTTTATAAGCCATCTTGGGAAAAACAATAATATAGCATCATATAAATTAACAATAGATTTTAGATAAAAAATATGACTCGAGCTGGACTTGAACCGGGATCCACAGCGATCTATGCTAACCAATTGAATTACCGAATCGGATTTTTTAGATCATTTAAAGAGGAATCATTCTTATTACATAATTTTTGGGTATCTTGAACTATTTTCACAACGCACACAAGCGAACCCTTAGATATTAATAATTTACCCCGTTTCTTTCACATTTCCCACAGGTGTTCACTCATATCGGTGACAGCGTAATCTTTATATCCTAAAGTCTTCCTAGATAAATGTTCTAACACAAAAAATAACCAATTTGACCCAGTAGTTCCTGAAATCATTACGTTCAAACAAACAGACTTTTCTGTTTTATAATATTAGTAAAGATAAATATGTTTATTATGCAGAAGCGAGGTCTCCGAACCAGTCAGTGTCGAGCGAGGAGAAACGGCGTAGATGGTCCTTACCGTCGAAAGTCACCGAACTGATACGTAAGTACTTATTTAAGTACTAGCACCACATACCTGGCTCTTTAGTCTAGAATTCAGTACACTCGTAGATCTCAGAGAGACCCAATTCTGGTTCTGGTGATATCGTTTGATATTTGGGTTTGCAGACTTATCACTCAAGTCTAGACCAATGGAGCTTTTATGGACTGTGCGCTTTGTTTCATTCAATATTTATATATGTATGGATTCCAACCTTTTTATATAGCATTGTGAGTAACGGGTCTTTTTTCTAATAGCAGAAGGTTTAAAAGCTTAAACCTACCACGTTGCTCTAAAACGAATTGTCAGACTTTACCCACTAATAATAATAGCCACTAAAATAACGTAAAATAATAAGTAACGATATATATATATATATATCTATGAATGTATATCCGGAGATAAATAAATATATATATATATATATATCTCCGAGTTAAATTCCATTTCCTTTGGAGACATGGGGTGAACATATTTCTGTATCCATAGGAAGTATGTAGGTCAAACTTCTGTTCCCTGCCAAACAGAACCAATTAATTGTTTCCTTGGATTCCAAACCCAGGACCTGTCGTTGTTTAACGTTACATTTTAATCGTTAAGCTACGGTTTCCAATACTTAAACATAATATATAAACTCTATGATCAATTTAACAACTGTTTAATACAATACAAATGCTGGTCTCGGTAAAACTGTATTTAATAGCAAGTAAATAAATTATAGAATTTAAAAATTAAACATGCATTTAATTAATTACACATTAATAATCAGGAGAGTAAAGCATTTGTTCATTTAGGTCACATTTAGTGATTAAAATGTGTTTACGTGTGATGTTGCGAAATCATTAGATTTTTTTTTATTTACACTATTTTAAATACTGTCTGTAATTTACGACTTTAAAATAATTTTCCTATAAGTTTAATTAATAAATATCGCCTTTTAAATCGTTAGTGTTTTATTTAATTCACACTATTTTAATATAGTCTGTGTAATCTCGTCCCGAGCCAGTTCAAAAAACAGGTTGTGAATTTTTATAGGTGAAGCTATTTTTAAAATGTAGGCCAGATAATGTTATTTCTGTGTATTGCAACTGCCAATAATATTGACGGTAGTCAATGATATTGAGAGGAGTCAGTTTAGTTGATGTTTACGAAAGTCCGCAGATGAAAAAGCCGTCAAATTCGTTTCGTGTTTAGACTGTGAATTTCCGAATTCCAAAGCCCAAAAAGGTCGACGGCGCATCTTGTTTGGTTGTTCTATGTTCTCCTTTATGGGAAGAAACAGCTTCTTCTAAAATTATTATAAAATAAAAGATGTGGAAAACTATTGATTCGAAAACAGTTAATTTACATAAATTTGAAATAAATAAAAGATAATATGCTTATAAAAGTTTTTAGTACGAAAGGAAAAATATATAAAAAATATATTTTATATAGTTTACGCGAGTAGTGCACATTTAAATTAAATAATTTTAACGGTTTAAAATGCGAAGTATACCCCCAGTAAACTTATTTTTTATTTATTGTACACGGCCCAACAACAGTCGTGAATAAAATAAAGATTTTTATTATTACCTGATAAGTTGCAATGTAAATATTATGTTACTTTATAGGGTCCTGGGTTCAAATCCCGGGGAAACAATAGATTGTTTTGGTTGGGTTATCAGTGATCAGTGAAACGGACACAGATATTTGTTCGCCCTATGCCCCACGGGACGATTTCACTAGAATATTTTGGTGTCGACCACTTTTATTTCAAACTAGCTGTTTCAGCGACTTCGTCCGCGAGAATCGTTATTTTGGGCATCCAAATTAGTTCTTGCAAACCCCATCATCTTTATAGGCTTAAGCTGTTAACCACGACATCGATGGCGTCCCTTCCTGTCGTTCTTGCAAGTTAATTTTAAAAGATTGATATATAGCGTCGTGGAAATTTTTTAGATCAAAAATATTTTTTAGGAAACTTGAACCGTTTTCGCAGCGTAAGCATGTGAAACCCACAGAGATGAAAAAAATCCCCCGTCCGCTGTACCTTCGCTTCTAAGAGTCACAGCGGTATGTTTTATAGCCTATAGCCTTTCTCAATAAATGTTCTAACCGACACCAAAATAATTCTAATAAACAAACATTATAATTATACAACAATCAACAAATATATTAGTATAGATTTCAAATATAGAATAAAATTAATGCAGTTCTATGTAATAGTGGGGTCAAATGTTTTAGCTTTATTGGTATAGATAAGAAAGAATGAAATCTTGTCACAGGTATGAGACAGGCATGAAAGAAATGCTTTTAGTTGTTGTTGCATAAAAATATGAACAAGTGACTGCTGTAAATGAAAACGTAAACGGTTAAGACAGAGATTATAATGGGAAATTGGCTTACACAACGCAAACACTTAGTCCGTGTCCAAGTAAGAGATTCTTTCTTACGTTTTTATAACTACACTAGCTGTGTTAGCGATTTCGTCCACGTAGAATAGTAACTTTGGACTTCCAAATTTGTTTTTGACAACCTCCCCTTCATCCATCCATCTGTTACCAACAACGTTGGTCGCGTCCCTTCCCGTCGTTCTTGCAAGTTAATCATAATTAATGTAATTTGGTGGTTGTTAAGTGTTTGTTAACGTACTTAATTCACACAATGTGAAACAATGTCGCTTGTGTTAGCTCGGTCTCTGAAGGAGCCACAGAATATCAGTGTTGGGACATTAGTCCCAACGTAGGTGAGTGGACTCCTTTTCGGAGGCAACTATTTTTTTTTATTATATTATATGTAATTAGTTTTTTTTTTATTTGTAATGATTTTTTTATATTTCATTTGTTAAATGTCTTGTGTTGTTTCCGAATAAACGTCTTCTATTCTATTCTAAAAGATAGACATATTGTGGCGGTGTATATGTGTTATGGCCTTCCTCAATAAATGTAATTAACACAAAAAGAAATTGTTCAATTTGAACTACTAGTTCCTGAGATTAGCGCTTTCAAACACACAATCCTTAATATCCCAATAAATCCACCATTTATTATGAATGTAGAATAGTCGAGCATGCTGTACTTGATGGTAGGTGGGATACATAATAAAAAAGATTTCCGGTCAACATATTTTGGCTCTGGACATTCAGTAGTTCACATACGAACACCGAAACGCGATTACACTTTTCGATTTTTTCACCGATACATCGAATGTAATTTCGTTATTCCTACCTCCCAGTCATTCGATTTATTTAAAGTCTATCAGGATTTAGAAAAAAATAAAATGTATATTTAGAAACGTGTTACATTTGGTGGGAATCGAATCCACGACCCGTTGATTGTACAGTTCGATCGTCTAAAACCAACGACTTTTTCGAATTGTTCATGTTGTCTTTATTTTATTTACATATATCGTAACGTCAATTCATATATTAACGATCTTATATATTTTAGGTTTTAAACCGTTCAAAGTAAATATTTATGTTCAAATGCGGTCTGTAGTTTACGCGAGCAGTACACATTTACCGGCTTACAACGCGAAATATATTAGTTAAACTTATTTGAAAATTATTCTAACTTCGGCCCGATGTTTCGGATGCTTTGCAGCAGCCGTAGTCACAGGGCGATAAGCGACACGTGTTGCCGTAATTATAATGATTTTGATCAACACTAGACTCTAAACAATAAAACCAACTGAAATATTCAATGTACGCTAAAGTGAAATTTATTGAGGCGAAGGCGGAATGCACGACGTCTCGTGGCATTTCAGGCCTCGTGTGGAATTTCTACAATAAACATTTCCAGCAGAATATTCCTTTGAGCTGATACACTAAAAGTCTTCTGAAAATCTAGTCTGCACTTCAACGTGGCAGTGCACGCTCAACTCATAAGTCGCAACTTGCATTTTTGCATTTTAGATTAAATACTAGATTTGATATTCTATTATGTTTGTATCAATACAAAAATATATCGCTATGGAAATATATGTTTTAAAAATATATAAATTGTAAGTGTTCTTTAATATAAACTGTCGACCAAAAAACGAATTTACGCGATCGATCAAAATTTGAGTATCTGTAAATACGCTCTCTGGACTAAAAATCAGTTTTAGCTTAACATAAAAAAACATTAGTAGAAAAGATTAGATTAGGAATTCTATCAACTTGCAACACACAACAATATTGTTAGTATTATGTTAAGATTAAGTCAAAGTATTTTGATCATGATTACTCTTTTTTAAATTAATACTTTTGTTTATTTTTTGTAGCATTTGTGTATACTACGGTAAATAAATATATGTTTCTCTATGTCTTTTAAACAGTAAAAGTAGGGCTGGTTAAAATTAATAATATGGGTAATGCATCTGGACTTCTTAAATTTAGATAAATGTTTTTTAATTAAGGGCAACAGGAATCCGTAAATTAATTGCACAATTTTAAACCGCAGTTATTTTCATTTTTGTTGTTGGCTTTTCATAAAGTGGAGAAAACATTTCTTGAAAATTAACTAGTGGAAATAGCGAGCATTGTATTTATAATTGAGTTTGAGACGGGAATTTCCTTGATTGATATATATACCAATTAAGTCTTATTAGGGCTCGAAACCTTGATATGTTAGACTATTGCTTTACCAACACGTAATGTCTGGAAGTAATATTAGAAAAGATTTAAGACAAAGAAAATTCTTGAGATCTCTGACATTTACTTTTCTTTCTCTTTAAACGGTTTTGTTTCCAAAGAGGAGCGTTATTACTGAGATTCCGCTATATATTTGTCCACATGTGGGAATGTACTTCTTTGATCAAGATATTCCGTTGATCGCCTCGCACCCCCGATATTTACGGAGTTCAGAATAAATAATAGTTTGAATTTAGAATATTCGAATATCCAGTACAAAATACCGTAAGCACATAAGTAAGAGTTTAATGCAGTAAGTCACCGAATTTCCACGAAAGGAAAGTCTACGCTTTTCGTGAAAATTTCGTGAACCGCACTCGGATATTCCGATTTTACGTGAATATTCGCGATC